TTAAAAAAAGCTGAGAAGGCGGCCAAAAATGGCGAACGGCCACCCCTTTCAAAAAAAAAAGACAAAACCAAAACCCCACCCCCCCCCCTCCCCCAAACCCCTTTAACTTGCCAAATATTACTTTACCCCCCAACCCCCCCCCCCCACCCCCATGAAAGGATCAGCAGGAAATGTGGCAAATATTGCATCTATTTCATATATACATGTATCCCAGCTTAGTGCTGTGATTGTTCAGCGAAACAAACTTTCTTTTCTCGATCTTAAATTAAGCGTTGAAGAAATTTGTACTTCGCGTGTATTTTTGGCAACAATATTCTTCAATCAACTAGAGTGAATTTGTAATAAATACACCCCTTCCGGTGTCTGTTCTGTATGCATAATTAAGGACGTGGAAACCTTCTTTTATCTGGCCAGAAAAGGAAAAAAAATTGTGTCAATTTTATTGCTTCTAAAAAAATATTGGAAGCAAGTGAGCGTGATCAGAGATATCAGATTTTAGTTTCATACCCAGTGGGTGTTTGGTCTAGCTAACAGTTCATTTTGTTTCTCAATAATCTCAGTCTCTGATGTCGATGAGATTCATGCAAAACAAATATGACTAACTACAGTAGCAGTATAAACATTATCACTACCTACAATACACATGAAATGTACAATGAGATATGGAGGGGTGGTTGTGGGGAAAATGGTCACTGTCCACAGGTGTGGACAGTGATACATTCATGTGTTGTAAAGACAGAGCACCGTATCATGCATGGGGGCTGGGAGGGTGTGTTAATGAATGCCCTCTGAGATGTTGTGGGATATCTATTGTTATGAAAATATTCGCTTTATTTACAGTACTGAGAATAGTTTCAGAGACGATGTTATGTGATACAGTGTATACTAAGCCACGAAGAACAAAAATTTGACGTCGGAAACCTCATCCCAATCAAAGCTGGTTCCTTTGATTAACTACACTGTATTTGGCCTTATTATCATTGTTACTACTATCTGAGAAGCTATAAGACACAATCTGTGACATCGCAGACAAAGATACATTAAACTCAAATTTGGGTCAAAAATGAGCTGAAATTATAACTCAAGCATCCTCATTCACATGTCTCTAAAAGAAGGATTTATTTAATGGCAAACTGGTTGGCTCAGTTGGGAAAGCGCAGGTCTGCTGAGTGGGAGATGACAGGTAACCAGGGCCGGATTAACGCTCAGGGTCTTTAACTTTAAAACTGAAAAGAAAGTGCTCACCACGGTTTGAAAAGAGTGGGGGACATAGACCCCGGTGGTGTAGCAAACCTTTCCTGGGCTAGGTGGCTTATCAGTAAAGATCGGAGATCTTAATATAGGCCAGGATAACCTCCTTTAGGTGTAGTAATGGTGATATATGTATAGGTGAACTCCTTCTTAAAGAAAGTCAACCATATCAATACCAGGTTTTGAAAAATTATTCCAGAGCACATCAGGTTTACACAAAAAGTCTTTTCTTTTTTCATACTGCAGTCCTGGTTTACACATTGATTTTTCTCATCATATTTGAAGGAAAAAAATTCTCCTGAGGCCATCTAATTTTTTTTCTCTGTTTAGCGTCATCCATCCAACACATATTTTTGGCATTTTCAAAAGAAAAAAAAAAGAACAACGCAGTTAAACTATTTTTCAATTTAAATAATTCTTTTAATCTGGAAAATGAGCATGGCAACAGTTGCTGAAAAGTGAGGGATGCTGGTATGTCGCAAAGGAGTTTCGGTGGTTGATCCATTTTTCCCACATTGTCTTAATTTAATTAAAATAACATCAATTTCCGCCATATTGATTTTGGGTCCATGTCTAGTTGTTTCTAGGCTCTACAGCAATGAATCTAGGGTACCACGCCTCCTATTTCGAGACTTCTTGTGATTTATTTTAGGGTTTTTTTTTTTTTGATCCGACCGACCGACACACCCAATATCAGGAAATGCATTTGACGCTAAACAAAAAAGGGGATGGCCTAAAAGTAAAAGTGGTGGGAACAAAAGGGATGGCCTAAAAGTAAAAGTGGTGCCAGTAACAGTACTGACCTTCTGGTCAAGCTGTGCCTATCGATAAATGAATAGGTAATTTTAACAATGAAAAGAATAAATAAAAGAACAACTAATAAAGATCCAAGCATGTGTCTAGTGGCCACTGACAACAGATTAAAACTAAAGAAGAACTATAAAATCAACACCCCAAAATGTTGAGAGGGTCAGTTATGGAAGGTGTTGTTCACAAGACACTTTTACCGTAGGGTTTAAAAACTGGGACAATCTATTTTGGTGTTTTGGGTAGGTGGTCGCTCCACAGCTGTATGTCATATCAATGTCTCTTCCCACAGTGGCAGACATTTGTTTTTCTACTGCTTAGGCCCACACGATTGACTAATTTAAGTCAGCCAGTGGTTTTCAATTAACTTTGTTCAGTAAATGACTTAAAATACACCTTATCACGCTAGATTTACAACTTTAAAACCGGTCCCAGTGTCAAAACTCTATCCACAATGGCAGAAAGCGCACCTTGGAGTTAAGAGGATAGCCGAATTCTAATACCATACCTCTTTAAATTACGTAAATACGAAAGACTAAAGACAGGATATTTCACAGACAAGAATTAAGGTTAGAAATTTGACCTCTATCGAAACTGTCTGTTATTATTTCTCGAATATGCGTACATATTGTAGCTGTCTTTGTCGTTAGAAGCAACTCTCAAACTGCCTTCTTCCTGCTTCTTAACATGAAAGCTCGTTGAATTTTAAAATCGTTAGGCTTATTTCAACGTGACAATGTCTGCACACTCAAGACTAAATTAAACTTACTTGTTTATTTCGAAGGCACAGCTCCACAAGCGCTTCCATCGCCTCTCTCCGATTTCACCAAACACACATAGGACAGTATGGCTAAAAATCATGAGTGCCGACTTTGAAAAGCCATTTCTCGAGCCAAAATACGGTCCAACCTAGGAAAACTTTTTACCATTTTTGAATCATGGCGGTGCATTTTATACTACGTGCATGCGCAGACGTGATTTTTGTCCCAGATCCCGCGCGTGGTCGTCTGTCTCTGATAAAATACCCGAATAGCTAAAATTGAAGCCGAACTAACCTGAGATCAGGCCCAATTTTAGCGGTTCTCATACATTCTCTCTAACGGCTACCGCTAACCTTGCCCGCCGGAATGTTATTTTCAAAGCGAAACAAAGAGAGAGCCTGATCTCAAGTTAAAGCTGAACCGACCAGTTCGAAAAAAAAAATGTCTACACTCCTTTGAAGTTTGGCTTAGCCTCGAAATATTCTGGAGGTGGGTTTGGGTTTTCTGCAACAGTGTGCGGAGGAGACAGAGTAAAGTATCAAAACTGCTTTCCATTCGAGTCAGGCATGTTTTTAGGCGTGGTTGTGAAATTCAAAATAAGACTTTTTTGAGTTAGTTTTTGATATGTTTCAGCAATGACAAATAATTCATGTATGTGAAGACTATTAATTTCATTTATCTGTTTTATCTAATTTTATTATTTTATACGCGAAGGTCTGGAAGTCTCGACTTGTAAACGGTATTTTAGGAATTTTGGGGTTTTTATGGCCTGTGACCAGAAAAAGATTGGACTCGCTTAAAAATGCGTTTGAGAAGATATTGCCAGGGGCAATTAGTAAAAGGTATTGCTAACATCAAATAAGCCACTTCTGAGTTCCAAAAACCCCCATTTTCGAAATGAGACTAAGTGCACAACCTTTCTTGCGAAACTGAGTTTTATTTGCATAAGAATGAAAAATAAATTCCATATCAAAGGCTGAGAACTTAACCTTGTTTTGGCCTATTATGACCAGTTCTCATTCCTTTAGGTTCACGTACGAAAGAAAGTCGTTTTAAAGGCCCTCAAGTGAAGGCCCGCGGTTAGTGACCAAACGTCTATGTACCTAGTTAACAGTCTCGTATATATGTTGAGACGGTCCCCTGCGAGGTTTTCCCCGCGCACCAACTGAATCTTCTCTGTTAGGCTCGGTCTCGTAGACTCTTATAGGGGCCAGCTGGGGCTGAGAGTTCTCCGGAACTTCCTGACTTTGCCGTTTTCGATCTTTATCCGGCTGGGCCGCAGGAGATTCATCTTCGTCCTCATCTGCCACAGAAAAGTGAGTGACGCCATGTTTGTTGGAGAAACCGTCATCGGTAAAGTGGGCGACGACCTGAAATACGATAGAAAATTGCGCAATTTCGTAAAAATCATGGTGTTCACCTTGTGCAATAGGTAAAAACCTAAATGCAATAACGTTGTTATAGAAAAAATAAAACAAAAAGAAAAGAAGCAAAGACGATTTGCCCAAGAATTTGTTCTGCAAAATCGCGGCCCGGCGAGGAGTGAGAAAAATCCACATCCGGTTGACGTTCGTCGCTCGCTGAAACGTCGTTGCTTAAATTCCCTACCGATAATTCACCACCTACCTCCTGTACTTCGTCTTCAGGTTCTTCATAGTCCCCTTCTGGTACAGCACCGTCCTGTAACTCCTCCAAAGCAATTATAACTTGCCCACTCCGTATCGAGGAGTGTGGTGCGATTGGGTTTGTATAAAACGACGGTCTCTTCTTCTCGCTTTTCCTACTTGGTCTCGGGTGTAAAGATCGCCTACAAAACAGCATAAGGAGCTAGGCTAAGAAAGGAAACCAAATACAGAAAATACGGACATTCGCCTCTTCAGAAATGAGAAGGGAATTGGAGCTAAAATGCGTGCCATAATTGTTTTTGAGATCGTCACTGGGGATGCACTGGTCTGCTATACTATTATCGGTTTTCACATGACGTCACTTAAATTCAAGCTAAGAAAAATTAAACTATCAGCCAAGGAGCCCATGGCCCATGGGCTCCTGAAACTATAGGTTCTTCTGAGTTTCTACCTTCATGAGGTATTACAGCTCTTAATATTTTCCGCTCGGAATTAAAGGCTCTTCGTTTTGCGGTAGAGGACGCTTGAATTTCCGGGCTTTTGCGAGACGTGGCACTTTAGCTGAGAAAGGCCGGGAAACTTCTTAAGTGGGTTAAAAACATTACCGATTTTTTGAGATTTTGCTATCTAAACATTCCTTGTTTCAGAGCAAATGGTACTTTAATCTTCATGAATTCCTTAAGTGATGAATTCACGCATTAGTAGGAAAACTCAACACCAGATGTTTCTGTTGGTTTCCGGTGGCCGGTGCCCCTCAAAGGGACACCAACATGGAGTCTCCAAACAAAGCTTTATAAAATTTGGCAAAACGTTTTTCCGAATATCTCGCATATGAAATATCGCACAGACCTGATTCTTGAAGAGGCGTTTTGTATATTTATCTTCTTCCGAGTGCTAGATTCTGGACTTTCTGTATTGATTGGTTTTGCATTTTTATTTTTGACGGCGTGACAGTGAAAACAAAGAATAGACCGACTTTTTCCCTCTCCACAGTAACAGTTCCAGAAGTCTTTGCAAAAGTTAACTTGGTCCAGCTTCCTTCTCATTCATAAAAGGGGCTAATTGATTATTTACGTTTTTATTTACTTATTTATTTATTTATTCATTTTTTAATGCATTTGTTTTTGTATGTATTTTTGTATTTGGCAAAAGACATGTCTCAGATCGGAAATGCATATCACAAACGGAGACCGTGAGTCGGATATAAATGGGCCATTATTCATGTCATGACATTTGTGATTTTTACACATAAACTGCTTTATTGGCTTAAATAGTAGTGCTTGGGCGATAGAATTAATGTACGTATCTCGAAAATGTCCATAGTTGGAGAATATATACCCCGTTGTTTATTGAAATAAAAAATAGCTACAGAAAGCAACTGATCTTACTTCTTTTTAATTCGAGGATAACAGCAGCAGACCATTATGACAATAATAAGCAGAACGATAATAAGAACCCACATCAGAGGCCCTGCAACAAAAAAACAAACTAATTATTAACCAACAAGAACAACAGCAACAACAGCAACAACAGATTGGGCGGCTGTGTAAGTGGAGAGGGTCTTTCGTATAACGATTAACCAAAGGCATACAATGAATTTTATCCCTGGGGAATTCATACCACTGAAAAAGCTGTGATGACAGTTAATTCAACAGCAAATAAATAAATCTACTTACACCACCAGTAGTGGCGAATAGCTATTTCATCTTCAGTTATTTCGGCATGGGCTATCGGAAAAAAGCAAAAGTAAGATATAAGTATGAGATGATTATATTACAGTGGTTTAAGAGATAAAACGGCGCGTAAATAAATAGATTTTGGTGTTCTGTAAAGTTAATGATATATTGAAATAATAAAAAAAAAGGATGTTTGTCTGTAAGGGCTGATCTGAAAGCATGAAAAGACTTGACTTACTTACTCGAGTTACAATTAAGTAGGAGGAGCATGATCGTTCGGCTGATCATAGTCCTGAATTGGACTGTTTTTGTTGACAGTGACTGACGTTTCGATAACCTGTGCGGTAGTCACCTTCACTGGAGTCAAAGTGAGTTGTATCACGTCAGTTCAATGCTCTTCCTACTTACAAAATGACTCCTTGGTCGAAACCTTTCACAATTTTTCCCGAGTTACTTATGTAACTTTGGTCTTTTTGACATATTTTTATCGGTCCATTCATTAGCCTTTTTTGACTGTGATCAAGATCCTTAGTTTTGATCCGAGGTTAAACAGAGTTGATCGAACACTGCACCGTCTTTGGCGGTGATTTTTAGCCTTTTTTTCATATATTGAGATAACCTCACCCGTGACATTCCCAATTCCATATATTCCAACTCTTAAGCAGATGTTGTCTACCCAAGAGATAGGCTTGAATCGTACATATCTAACCACCATTGGGTAAGGGAGTTCGCAGCATGAAATGGAGCCACCATCTTTGTTGCCATCGAATACCTAAGAAAAACGAACAGTGAAGAAAAGGTAATCTTAATTTAAAAAAAGGTTATTACAATTAATGACATGACTGCAGTGATAATAAAGTAAAGTTTGATAATAAACTAGCAAGAGTGTTTTATGAAGTTTCAAACACGAGGAGCAGCCCAGATGTTTTGATCATGACAAACAAGACTGAACTACACTGAGGCTCATCGGCCTAATTCTTTCCTCTAGCTCTTTCATTTTCTTAAAAATCTTTGGGCTTTAGATCACCTCTGTCAAACGACATTGGAGCTGAATACTCAGCATTGGTTTATTAGGTTTTAACAGCACCCTTGACTTTCAACCGCAACGACTTAAGTATTTTATTCACCAGTTATAAAAAAATATGTTAACAAAACATGAGTTAAAATACAACAACAACATAGTAATAATAATAATAATAATAATGATAACAACTTTTATCATTGGAAGGTTTGATTGATTATAAACCATCTAGCCATTCCACCATCCATCTATCCATCATTTGACTTATTAGTTTCCCAACCTGTCCGTCTTGGACAATAGCTCAGTGCCATTTGTGTGTTGAATATTATCTCACCTTTAAGTCCTTATCGAAATAGTATCCATTGTATGTTTTCCCGTCAGAACTATATTCGAGGGAATATTCTTTAACCCAGCTGTTAATGTTGCTTCCATTTACTTCCTTTGGTGGGTCATTCAGACCTTGTGTGGCAACGTGAGTCACTCGCGAGGTATATACTAGGAGATATCGAAAGTGTAATTGAAAATGTTGATTCTTAGCTCTTGCGGCGAAACATGTTGCATTAAAGATTTTCTAACTCAGAGCGATATATGATTCTCTTATCCTTTAAAATTATAAGAGATAAAAAGCGAGGTCTCATTTATAACTTGAATGTAATCGCGCATGGAGTTATTTTCTCATGGACGAAATATACGAACTTAAAACTTAGAGTCCTACATTTGATATGGATTTCATCAATTGAAGGAGACGAATTCATTCACTTTCTAGCAGTTTGGTTTCACTGAAAGGTTTGTAAAATAAATCGTTCATTTTCCATGTAATTTCTCATTTTATAACGAATTATGTTCCTGCAGTGCCAGTTTTGCTTTGTGATGGTAAGTGTCAACATTGTGGCGGTGATTGTACTCACTGAGATCTATCTGCAGATACTGAACATTGTCAGTTTCCCCAGCACACCAAGCAGTGCCCTGAGAACCGGTAGGTCCCTGGTTAAGCCTTCCTCGTCCAGCTCCGTGATTATTATCCAATCTTGAAGAAGCTGTCATAGACTGATCAGGAATGTGGCCATCCTCAATCCCAAGCTCATTCAAAGATGCTATAAGAATGACACGAATGCATTGAACAGTTAGTAAATGTGATAAATTCCATTTGTACGTTAGGAGTCACTCCGTAGCCAGTCAACCACATTCTGGGCCCTTGGTATAAGAGATCTTGGATTTGGCTGGGATAGCGAAGTCGTCAAACTCAGCTCAAGCAAGTGATGTCCTCAGAACTCTTGCTTACATTTTAGTTCCTATTGGTCATCAGCAGAAGGTAGATAAGGAATTTATAAAAGTTAATTTAGACAAAGAAATAAACTAAACCATCTTCTTGCTACTTTTTTTTTTTTTACAATCTTCACCGCCAAATCAGTTCTCTGATTAACATCGTGTACCTGCAGATAGCTTTTTTTGGTAAATAAACTATTGTAATTTTCCTCTTAATCTCAGTCTAATTTACATTAATTTTGCAGTCAGACCAACCACGGAGTCCCACTAATCATTTTCGACTTATGACTCTCAATATAATCTCGGTTGTCCCTTTTATCAATATCTCGAACGTCAATTTAAACATAAACATTTGCGATGTAAAAAAAGAAAAACATTGATTGAAACGAATGATTCAGTAAACAGAAATTTCCAAAGGTGTTTTGAAACTATCGATTTCACAAACACTCACAAGTATTCGTGCGCCTACTGGCGCGCGAAAACGATCCAAAAGTTATAATTATTTCAGAATGCAAACTACAATGTATATTGTTGTCGCCTAGTTAATGCCAGAAGATTAAAAGCAGCATTCAGTTACCCTTAAAACTTACAGAGCTGCACTGAAATCCTGGGATACAATATGACTCCTCTTCGATCGGAAAAAACTCTTTTTAATGTTAGTGAAAGTGATCGTCTAATGACAGGATTTAAATATCACTCAATCTGTGACCAAAATGAAAAATATATATACATAATAATATTTTAACGAAGAAAGCAGGTCAAGGAAGTAGAGAGTCTGATTGTGTTTGCACTCAAAATAAATAGCGTAAGATATAACAGCTCGCCATATCGATGTCAACATCGGGATAAAGAATCAGTGTAAACTTACCGACATTGCAACTGCACGACAGAGTAGACTTGTTCCACATACTACAAATCACTATCAAAGCTAACGGCATGGATCTTTTTGTGAATATCCGCCGGGTCATCTTAGGTGAAGCGAGATTACCAGAAACGACTAATAACTCGCAGAGAAAACTAAATTTTTGCTTTTTGACAGAACCATGGAAAGCAGCATCGAAGAATGTTTGATATTGAAAGAATGATACTAAACGCTCTTGGTTTCCAATCAAGCTAATATCTAGACAGATCGCTGAATAACAATTAGGCACACGGCAAGTTTTCTTAGTTCATTTCACAGTTCATTTCATACATATGTTTACTTAAAAGGTCATTAGTAAATATAGCGATCAGCGACTTAATAAGTATTCAATTGATTCTCCCTTCAAAATCGCGTGATGCCGTCTCCCAGCTTGATATATTTCACAGATCGGATCACTACTTCTATTACGGCGAATAATGGAGAAGGGTTGATCGACATCTCAAAATCTATATGTGAAGCCAATATGTTAATCTTTTGTTTACAATTTCAAGAGCAATCGTCTGGGCCCAGTTGTTCGAAGGCCGATTAGCGCTTAACCTAGGCTTAAATTTAACCCGTGTTTCTTTTTCTTCTGTTCAAAAGCATTTTCTCGGACAATTTTCTCCGTTATTTTTCTGTCATCAACTTGGTGACAGAAAGAATTAACCTGAATTTAATTTTTAAGCTTTCAAATCTGAATTCAAGTTTGGCACTAACCCTGGGTCACTTTAACCCAGCTTTGAATAACCCGGCCCTGAATATAACTGAATTCTATAACTGAATGTAAACCGTCCGTCGTGTGAGGATGTTATGAGAATTTATACTTACACTAGTTATTTCAATTCAAATGAATAGTTAACCGTTGAATGAACGGACGATAAAGAAAAGCAATAGCCACACTGTACATGCTAAAGGACGTGGATTCAATACCTGCCTTCCTACCCATTGTATTTCAGTCTCTGTATGGTCTTGCTTTGGAATGTCATCAATTAATTGTAACACGAATAGTCAACACTACAAAGCCGGGGTCTTTGTTGCTTTGGGAAATAAAATATAATTCTTTAGGTGGATCATGGTCCCCCATTTCATGACAAACGAGATCATCAATGGGCCTACAATGTAGGTTCCTGTCAGAGGGTCTCAATAGAGTGGTAGCCTAGACAGTTATTTTTTTTTTTTCAATTTTTGACTGCTGCCGGTTATATTTTAGAACTTTTGACGATTGACGGTTATTAAGTGGAAATTTAGTAAATATTAACTTCTGTCGGATTTAATATTTACTGTTGTGTTTTGGAGGTTGTCTTGGCCTTTCACTTATAAATTTTCAAAATATTTTCAGATATAACTGAACAGGTCAGTAAGGTATTGTGATGTCTAGAAAGTGTGTTTTTGAGAACACGGGAATTGGTTTTTCCATTTTAGAAATTCTTCAGGAGCCCGAATGCCGTGAAGATCAGCTGGAACACTAGTGAGGTTTAAAAAACCTTGAAACTTCTTCACGGTTAATCTAAACCTATATTTTTGACGGCTGATGGTTAAATAAACGGTTGACGGTTAATTCTTAGGCCATTTGACGGCTGAAGGTAAACCCCATTGAAATCCTCTTATCACGGTCATGTTTTCGTTCGAGAATACCCGTAATGATTCGATTTAGCGCCCTCTTTCCAATAACCGCACCCTTTCCAATAAGCCCCCCTCTTCCAATATGTTTTTGTTAATAAGCACCCGTATTCCATTAAGCGCCCCATTCCAAAAAGCACCCCTATTCTAAAATTATAATATTAGAGTACGGGTACGTATAAACTGAGGTTCATCTTCCTTTAATTGCTCACAAACGAACGGTAATGCCACATTACAAAAACAATGGTTTTCGTCTGAGTTTCTCAACTATTATGTCCATATGAGTTCATAAATTCTTGAAAGGAATGATCGCTTCTTCAAATTTGGTGGCGACTGCTCGGCTAGTAATTGATGAGAGTGACACTCACGCTATCGACGTCGAATAGATGAACTCATTAGTAAATATTAAAGTTTTGTTTTGAACATTCGCTTACTTCTCAAAAAAGAAATTAGCACCTTGTCCCGAATAAGCGCCCTACCTTGAGATGCCAAAAGCAAATGAGCGCCCGGGCGCTAAATCGAATCATTACGGTACCTCTCACACTTACCTGAGGATCAAATGAGTCTAGAGAAAATAAATAAACACAAATAAATAAACATAGATTAAAAAACAAACAAACGAACAAATCCAAAAACATACATTTTTAATGTTCTAAAGTTTTCTGTTGTATACCCTAATTTTCCGGTTAATTGCTGAACATCAGTTATGACTGGCTCAGCGTTCTTTTCTTTTAAGACTTCGCTTCCTTTGTTTTCTTTCTTTCTATCCTGTCTCTCTGTCTTGCTGTGTCTTTACCCATTCTCTATAATGCCTACAATGTACTAAAAACCTATCGGCTTACATGGTTTAGTAGCGGTCTTCTTCTTTTTTTTTTAATCGCTCAGCTTTGGACAAAATAACTGAATTTTCCAAATATACACAGTTTAAGGGGTTTAAATAGAATAAATTAGCCATTAAAGGTGAAGCTCAAAGCAAAAACCGTAACGAAGGTTTGCATTTCGTAAGCGGGACCCAGTGGCGATGAGACAAACTTTAGTTTTGGCTAAATAAGAAAGAGCTAATAATCATTTGAGATACTATCAAACACTCGAAACCTTGTTTCATGCAGAGTATTTCTTTATGGCGAGGTCTAATAAAAATCGGCGCCTGTGCATCGTTTTTCTTTTCCTTTTTTTTCCAAGCCCACTTCATGTATTCTGGACAACAGATAACGTAACATTATAATACACGTATCAGGTTTTTCTCTCTTGATTGTTCCTCACCTTTGCCGTTTCCTTTTTAAAGGAAATTCATTTTAATTTCTTTTTCGCCAAAGGAAACACTAGTGTCGAAGTTTTTGATGCTTCTCAAACTAAAACTTTAGCGCCGAAAGTTTAAAGCAAACGCTATTTAAATGGTGATCGGTAAATGGGTTTCTAGCTACTTTTTTAGATTTTGTTTTCTCTCTTGTCTTAAAAACAAATTTGCAAAATACTCTTTATATATAGTAAATTTCATGAGATAGGAAAAAAATTCTCAGCAACTTTAAAAACGTAAGCCGGTAGCGATGACATGGACAAAGAATCACTTAACCTAAATGTGAACGGATGTGCAAAAGTACCCCAAGAATTATGTCCACTTTTTTAAAAAGCAATACATGTCGCTCCGGAAGTAGCCGTTTCTCACACTCGCGTATAATAAAATAACGGCAGCCACCAGTATCCCTTTTGATCAACACGATACATTAGGAAATGTTATTCGTCTTTCCTAGCCGGGAAATAATCGATTATTACAAATCAGCCTTGCCACTAGAGTTGGATTACAATATGGTCTAAAATCATTTGGTATCTAAACCAAAAATAATATTAGGAAGAGACAGCCATATTCTCAAGTCGGGTCACCAGATCATCAAAAGTCGGTCTTGCTTTAGGATTAGGATTCCAACAGTCTCTCATGATTTGGTATCTAAAACAACAATATTAAATGGTGATGGTGATGGTGATGGTGATGATGATGATGTTGGTGGTGGTGGTGCTGATGGTGATGATGATGGTGATGATGATGATGATGATGATGATGATGATGATGATGATGATGATGATGATGATGCAATATACTAACAAGAGAATGGGAATCTTAAGGCTGCTGTTTTTACGGCCTTTAAAACGTTACCACTGACTTTCATTTTTTTAAATTATATTAAGTATGAACAGTTCAAAATGACTCGTAAAATTCCAAATACATTCCAGTAACTTACACATCTGACTCTGTCGTAAAAACGTAGGTTTCTAATGACTCGATAGCCATCCATTTTACTGGTAGTTTCCCCTGAAAGGTACATTAAATGTG